TATTTTCCATCTTATTCTTGGTCGTCCTTGGGAATTTGATCGAAGAATTATCCATGACGGGGCAGCAAACACATATCAATTTTATTGGGAGACTCATAACATCTTGTTGCTTCCCTCACGAGAACCGTCATTGTCTCCACCGGTTCCTAAAGCACCTCCTCCTCCTCCTTCTGTCATCGCCACAAGCACTATACTCTGTTCTCACGCTGACTTTGAGCTTGCTTTACGTGAGGAAGGTGTTGCCTTGGCATTAATTCCCGTTTGTTCGTCGAACCCAACAACGGAGTGGGTAGTTCCTCCCACATTCGACGTGTTGTTGTCTGAGTTCAAAGATGTTTTTCCAAGTGATCTTCCTTTGGGGCTGCCGCCATTAAGGGATATTCAACATCACATAGACCTCGTTCCCGGAGCTACACTCCCTAACCGACCACATTATCGAATGAGCCCAAGCGAGCATGAGGAATTGAGGCGTCAGGTGGAGGATCTTTTACGCAAGGGTCACATTCGAGAGAGCCTAAGCCCTTGTGCTGTTCCAGCCTTACTCATTCCTAAAAAAGATGGTTCTTGGAGGATGTGCGTGGACAGCCGTGCCATTAATAAGATCACTGTTCGCTACCGCTTCCCCATTCCGCGTCTTGACGACTTACTGGACCAAATTGGTAAGGCGTGTGTCTTCTCCAAGATAGACTTGAAAAGTGGTTACCATCAGATTCGAATCCGCCCAGGGGACGAGTGGAAGACGGCTTTTAAAACCCAGGAAGGACTCTTTGAATGGCTGGTTATGCCTTTCGGTCTATCCAACGCACCGAGTACTTTTATGCGGATAATGAATCAAGCCTTGCGACCATTCATTGGCAAGTTTGTCGTTGTCTATTTCGACGACATTCTTATTTTTAGCACCTCCTTGTCGGAGCATTTGGGTCATCTTCGATCGGTGCTACTTGTTCTTTGTGCGGAACAATTCTATGGGGCTCGACGAAAGTGTGAGTTTGGAACTTCGGAGGTGACATTTTTGGGTTACATTGTCTCGGATCAAGGTCTCTCCGTCGACTCCGCCAAAGTAGAAGCTATTCGGTCTTGGCCTTTGCCGAAGACGGTCACTGACGTGAGAAGCTTCCACGGTTTGGCCTCTTTTTACCGGCGTTTTGTCCAAAATTTCAGTTCCATCGTCGCACCAATCACGGACTGTATGCGTGAGGGCCGGTTGTTATGGACGCCTGAAGCCACCGCTGCCTTTGAGTTGATTAAACACAAGCTCACAACCGCACCTATCTTGGTTCTCCCAGACTTCACGGACACTTTTGAACTCCATTGTGACGCTTCGAAGTTGGGGATAGGAGCTGTTCTTAGTCAACAAGGGCGTCCCGTAGCGTTCTTTAGTGAGAAACTTTCCGGTGCTCGTCAACGCTATAGTACTTATGACGTTGAATTTTATGCAATTGTGCAGGCTATTAAGCATTGGCGGCATTATTTGGTTCACCGAGATTTCGTCCTTTTTACGGACCATGATGCGTTACGGCATCTTGATAGCCAGGCCAAGGTCTCTTCCAGGCATGCTTCTTGGATTGCTTTTCTTCAGCAATTCACCTTCTCCATTAAGCACACTTCAGGAAAAACGAACCGTGTAGCCGATGCCCTCAGTAGACGTCACACGGTTCTTACCGCCATTCATACGACCGTTCCGGGATTCTCTGAATTTGCTGAGCTTTACAAGACCGATGCATTCTTTGCACGATTATTTTCTGAAGCGGAACAAGGTCTTTCGGATGACTACTCTCTTCATGACGGGTTCCTTTTTCATGGGTTGCGTGTTTGTATTCCCGATTGCAGCCTTCGACATCAAATAATCAGCGAGCTACACAATGAGGGCCATGTGGGTCGTGATCGCACCTTACATCTAGTATCCTCGTCTTATTTCTGGCCGACCTTGCGTCGTGATGTGACTCGTTTTGTGGAGCGTTGTCGGGTTTGCCAACAGTCCAAAGGCAAGTCTACAAATGCTGGTTTGTATCTTCCTTTACCAATTCCTACACAACCATGGACTGATATTAGTATGGACTTTGTGCTGGGGCTTCCGCGTACTCAGCGTGGTCATGATTTAATTTTTGTGGTGGTTGACCGTTTTTCCAAAATGGTTCATTTTATTCCTTGCAAGAAGACTACGGATGCTCTTAATGTTGCTACCTTGTTCTTTCGAGAAATTTATCGTCTTCACGGGTTGCCACAGTCTATTGTTTCTGACCGTGACTCTCGGTTTCTTAGTCATTTTTGGCGATCCCTTTGGAAGCTCCTTCGTACTAGTTTAGATATGAGTTCGGCCTATCACCCCCAAACGGATGGTCAAACTGAGGTGGTTAATCGTTCTCTTGGAAATCTTTTGCGTTGTTTGGTGGGTGATCATATCAAGAGCTGGGATGCTAAGCTCTGTCAAGCTGAATTCGCACACAACCATGCATTTAATCGGAGTCTTGGTTCCAGTCCGTTTCGTGTTGTTTATGGCATTGTTCCTCGATGTCCGTTGGATTTGGCTCCTTTACCCGACCAAACTCGCTTTCATGGCCAGGCTGTCGATTTTGTTGAGAATTTGGAAGCGATTCATAAGCAGGCTCATGATCATCTTGTGGATGCGACGGCTTTGTACAAAACCAAGGCTGATGCTAAGCGTCGTGTGTTAGAATTTCAACCGGGTGATCTTGTGTGGGTATACCTAACACGAGAGCGCCTTCCTCTTCGGGAGTATAACAAGTTAAAGTCGACGAAGATTGGTCCCGTTGAAGTTGTGGAGCGTATCAATGCCAATGCTTACCGTGTTCGTCTTCCGCCTCATTTGCGTACTCATGATGTGTTTAATGTTAAGCATTTATCTCAGTTTCATGGTGATAACGAGGCGCCAGATTCGAGGCCGAATCCTTCTCTACCGGGAGGGACCTGATGCAGCGCACAATCTCCTCTTGATGGGCTTCGTCAAAGGCTTTCGTGCCCATCAAGCTACTGTTCTTTTGTTTTTGCATTTCGTTTTAATTATCGGTTTTTGATAAGGATTGCTTAGTTTTGGCTTTATCTCTCTTGTTAGGATTTTGTTTTGATTTCTATCACAGCCCTATAATTAGGAGCTGCTGAACATTTGTAAGTTTAGTTCATGTTGCATTAATCAGAAAAACCCAAAAAGAGGTAGACTTCTACCCAAAGAGCTTTGTAACCAAGGCCCTGCAAGGAGGACTTGCGACCCCTTGTGTTGATATCGATTCCTAGAATCGATCTCTACACTCTCTTATCTCTTTGTTCCCTCATCTTCTCTTTTCCCCATTGAAGAACTCGTGCTCTGTTTCGGAAACGTCAAAACAGAGGATCGTATCTCTTCCTCCTTCTTGGTTCCCCCTTATCACGGTTTCAAGCGTTACTAAGCGTTTTAAATGACTGGTTTAGCTTTTAAAAATGGGTGAATTTGTGGGAGTTTTATGACTGGTTAACCAGCGGCGGCTGCAATGACGGTTACATCAAAAATTACAAAATTAAATATAAATATAATTATTAAAATGTATAAATATACCAATATTATATTATTATGATAAATATATTGAAAAACTGAATACGATTAATAACTAAAAACCATAAATAAATTACTGAATAATTATTTAAAACAAATATTTTTTTAGTAAAATATATTTTTTTGTCAAAAAATTTTAGTAAAATATTTTTATGTAAAATTATAAACATTTTAAATATGATTAAAAATTACATATAATAAATTATTACTAAATATATGTACTAAATGATTATTGAAATGTTAAATAAATAACATTTATAAGATTTGATAATATTGGAAAATTAAATTTAGAGAATAGTTATAATTTGAGAATTAATGTGAATATATATAAGATTTGATAATATATATTTTATACTGCAAACGCTTGCGGGAAGGAGCTTTTGAAATTCAGCGATTTCGAGCAATCCCAAGCGGTGTGGAGCGTTTTGAATGATTGGTATCAATCGCTAACAATAGCAAACGCCCGCTACAACCCGCTAGGCGGGTGAGAACGGGAGAACCAATCAACACCTAAGAAGAAGAAGAAGGAATCTCCCCAATTTGAAGGCCAAGGGTTAAGTTTGTGTGTTCAAATTTTTATTTAATAATTTTGTCATTTTGGAGATGTTTTGGAGCTTGTTCCAAGACTAACTCTTCCTCTTCTCTCTTCTCTATTAAAATCAATTCTTTGCAAACCATCTAATTTTTTATCAAAAACTCTTTCTACTTTGTTCATTTTTTTATTTTTCTCTTTGGTGAATAATATCCAACGACGAGAACAAGTCTAGTAAATCAAAGGTCTTATGCAGCCTTTGTGAGAACAGTCGATCCACTCATTTCATTTAGATGCAAAGAAAAGTTTTATCATATAAGATTGCCAAGAGTGATGTATATTAAAGAGAGACGTTTTCTTAATGAGGAAGTAATAAATTAATCACATGTATTGTACACGGTTTCTAACACTTCCTACTTTTGAGACAACTTATTTAGATTATAATTTTCCAATAATATATTTAATTTTTATATAAATCAATCAAAAAAAATACACTAAACAACAATATACAATATTAAAAAGCTAAAAATATATTTATTTACTAACAAATTTAATTAAAAAGAACATAAGAAAAAAATATATTATTCTGTGCTGTAGCACCGGTTAAAAAAAAAATATAATAACTAGACACAAAAATAAATAGTGAAAACTTCAAAACAAAAAGAAATCAAAATACTTATATAACATACAGTAACTAAAAATTCATTTTGCGATATACCGTAGGATTAACCTACTAATATTTATTTATAGAATACTACATATTTAGTCTATTAATTTCAAACTCACGTGTTACCTAAGTATAATCGCGTTACCTACCATCATGGTATATAGATAGAAGAATTGTTCTCTTTTCCTACGGAAAAATAAACGAAAGAAAAAACGAACAGATGGGGAATAATGGAATTATAGGCACAATAGTACTGATGGTAATATTTAGACTTCAAAGTACAAAATAAATTCGCCATATTCCATGCCTTCTGCATAAGTAGATTACATTTTCATTTTGTTTAAGATTCATAAAATCCGAAAAGGAACTCATACATCTTGTGAGACGAACCAAATAAGTTGCCATAAGAGATAAATAATAAGAAGCTTATTACTAATTATATCTACATATGGTCTTAAAGATAGACATCTTCAGTTACATATGTAGTCATGATCATACTGTTCGAAGATCATACAATATAGATATATATATATATAGATATATATATATATATATATATATATATCATTTAGACATATTATATAGTTTCCTTCTCAACTCTCGTTACCTCAAAGCTCCAACACTCATTATCATTAACTGCGGACTAAACCAGAGAGATAAAAGTCAAATTCTGTAAGTTCCCACTAAATAAGTTTTATAAGTAAGGTGAATCTTTAAAACGATTGATGTATATAGAATAAAACACTTACATTGTTAAGCTAGCTTGGCTTGTTTGTTGCTCTCAAGCATTAGACCGAAGTGAATATGAGGAAAGTGTGCCCACTACAAAGTGTGAAACCAATTTAATCAGTACCGCAAAGGAATAAAAGGAGTTGTATTTTTAAATGGACCGAAGTGAATATGAGGAGAGTGTGCCCACTTTATAATTTTACATTATTTTTGAACAAAATGTAATATTTTCTGAGAATTTTTTAGAATTGCCCATTTTGGTGTATTCCTTTTAAAAAATATATTTTTTTATCTATACATTTTCAAAAATACTCCTATTTAAATATAAAAAATTATAAAGTTTTATATGATTTATAAGGTACTTTTATATAATAACTACTACTGAGAGATTCGATACCAATAATTTATAATGTTTTAAAAGGTTATAAATATTTTTTAAGTTTTACAAAGTTTTTAAAAAGTTTTAAAGGTTTTTATAAGGTTTTCATAAGTTATTTAACGCTATTTATGAAAAATATATAAAATTTTATACACATACAAAAATATTTTGTGTGTATATTTATAAGTTTCCACCCATATTTGAATAAATTTCAACATTTTTAATGGTTATTTTGATAAAGTTTGAAAAAGATATTTTTAAAAATGACATTTGAAAAAATAATATTTTTAAAATTCTCCCGTATTTTTTCTACATACTTATATATATAAGTTTATATCGATTCACTGTTGTTTATACCAATTACTTAGTTTATTTAGAGAACTAATCATGGCCAACAATATTAGCATCGGGCTATTAATTGTTACTAGTCTACTATTACTATCTAAATAACGATGGCTGTATTTTGGTTACTAAATTAATTTTTGGGTGCTTAAATATATCATTTTGCTGGACATAAAGACAAAAATAAAAAATATATGTGGCTTGCTCGCTTAGAAGGGTGGAAAAATAAACAAATTTAATGTATTTCGTATGAGACTAAAATCTTTATGGGATCAGTCCATGAAGAAATAGAGTCCTATATATAAAAAGATCGAATCAACGTGCGTACTCAAACCTTCAATGACAGTGGTCTGTGAGTATATTTTTTTAAGTTTTAATTTTCTTTGGTGTAGTTTTACAAAGTTTAAATTTATTTTATACACTTTTTTTTACACCATAGTTTAGGAGAAAATCATATTACTTAATAAACTAAATAAGAATAATAGTATAAATCTATTTTTAATTTTTTAATATTAAAGTATATGTATATATAAAACATTAATGTATATACACTATCCAAAGTCATTTTTAAGAATGGTTCGAATAGCTAATTAAGTCCACTGCATTACTCTAGTCTATAACCTAATACAAACTCTAACTTATTTTAAAAACCACTCTTTGACGCTTACAGTCGTACTGTTTACATTTTTATTAATTTTTCTGATGTTCCTCTCAAGAAAGCTCCACTCTTTAAAACTTATATTTTTAGCTAAAACCATTGAACATGAAAAAATCCTTACATTTTTGGCGGCGGTGCTGAATGCTTCTCTGTGGCTAATGTCTGGATTATTCGCCTTAATCCTCTGAATTTCCTCTCTTCACATATTAAACACGAAATTTAATTACCTTTTTCTTGACTAAGAGATTTCGAACATAATAAACATAAGTCATCTAAATAATAGTCTTGAGAAATTTTGTCTTACTTTATAAATTGATTGTACGCAGAAGGTACTCGCTGCCTCTTCTCCGGAGCTGAAAGGCAATAAATGAAATTTAGAATATACGCACATACATGTTTACAATTTACTTACTTGGTTCTATATAGAAAATTAAAATTAATACTTACGACGGTTTACAATCCTTTGCTCCGTTATAGTACGAGTTGAAATTCTAGAAGGGGTCTTGGTGTGACCTCGTGAGGTAGATCCATAATCTGGTACAGCATAGTTCGTAGCCTATATATATAAAAAAAAAAAAAAAGAAAAAAGAATGCTTAGTTTAGTTTTTGTTTACATGACTGTTCTTTGATGACGACAAAAAAAAAAGGACTGGTCTTTGATTTTTGAGATGGAAATAGTGAATCAAGGGGATTCATATGCAATTATGTATGTATTGTCTAGTTTAGGAAATAAAAATAAAAAGATAAAGTGGCCTAACGAAAAGACATATTATTAATGTTAAAAAAGAGTAGGAAAAGACAAACCCTTTAAAGAAAGGAATCTGAGAAATATATTTAGAAAAAGAAAAGAAACAAAACCAATGAAACCCTAACATTCATATCAATCAAATCATAGAGGAACTAGCCCACATCAGTAGTAGATCAAACATAAGCTAGGGCTCTATGATACGAAAAGGCTGCAAATATAAGTTCACAGCTGGAAAATAATTAATTAAATAAACTTGAAAAAGAGTAAAAAAATTATTAAGTGTTTTTGGGCTAGGTAGATGTAGATGGCGGCTAGAGACAGAACCATGCAACAAGAGGCTCAGATCTTTGCCTTTAATTCGTCTTTCAAAACAAACAAAAGAGCCCTAAATTTCAGAGGGATGGTTCGAGTTTTTATTTTATTTTTTATTACAATATAAAATTCTAAAATTCAGGCAATTGAGGAAAGAGAGAGAGTGATTGAGAAGTTACCTGGAAATTAGGGCGTGAAAGCGACTGAAGAGCAGCTGCCATGTTTACAGACCACAGATTGGTGCAGTGACCGCATCGGACGGTCACGATATCGAACAGACTGCTGCATGGGACACTCACCTACACACATTTTAGCCAAACACAACCTCACTTATTAAAATTAGTTAATCTTCTTTCTTGGACAATTTGATTAGTCTACTAGATCCATAAGACAAAGATCCTTGAAAATCTTATATGACTTCATGCAACTTGAATAAAATCTTAGGAGATCAACTTATATTTTCAGTAGTGAATAAAGTAAGTTTATCATATCCATATGAATCATGACCATTTTGAAAATAGTTTATCATATCATTTGATTCCCAACTTAAATTATAAGTAAGATGCTATAAGTAGGACTTTAATTTGAGAAAAACATGAAAAGAAATCTATATGATGGGGGGGAAAAGTCATGTATAGCAGAAGGATGGTGACTTCTCTCTGGCACACCATAAGCTAAATGAAATATTTGTAAGTGATACAAAAAAAAAATGAAAAATGAAAAACTGATTTCAATGGGTGAGAACTTTGAACGTTTGTAAGATAGTGGAACTGATGAAAAGAACTGCACTACTCTTTAACAGAAACCAATATATATGTATACTACAAAGGAAATAAAGGTAGATCTATGTTTGATTATATATCTTTATACGAAATTTTGCAGGGAGCATAGAATAGAAATAACATGAATATATATACCGCAAGAACTATGTTGCAAAAGTTGCAAGGGATGTAGCAGAGTTGCTCGGATGACATCGCAGAGTTAGCCATGATCGATTTCGAGATATAGACCAAACAAGTTTTTTTTATAAGAATAGATAGAAGATGAGAGCAATTATATAAGTGAGAAAGCTTCTCTCTCTCTATCTCTCTCTACCCGAACAGACACTTGCCTTAAAATCGGGTATTGTACTTCAACAACTATGCCAAGGGATCATAAAAGTAATTATATGGGGAAGATAATAAGCCTAAGGATGAGAGTTAAAGAGGCAAAATTATTATATGCAATATCAAGGATTTGGGAATTTCGATGTAGGGTTGTGTTCTATGTCTTTTAACGAGTAGGGTCCTCTTCACTCATGGGGTTGCGTACCATTAAAAAAAAAATTCTTATCGAAATATTGAAATCAGATTCTTACAAGGCAATTAGAGGTAAAAGAAAAAACTATTGCGGTTTTGTTATAAAACTAAGGTTCCGAATGGTAATTATACTGTACTACAAAACTGCACTGCAATAGTATTGTAAACATGTCAAAATATCTACATATACATATATATTTATGTATTTTTGTTACTATATGAACCGCACCATACTTCTCCATAGTAAAAAATACAGTTACTATTCGGGGCCTAAGTAAAAGCATAAAGGCAATAGTGTATGTAAAGAAAAAAAAAGATTGAATAAATAAAAATCAAAAGTAAAAACAAAAATTCGGTTTTCAAATTTTTCATACAAAAATTAAATATATTATACCGGTTTAGAAAAATTATAGTTTATATTATGTTTTTGTAGTGGTTGAATTTGTCTGATTTGTTGGTCTTTTAATGTAAAAACGTAAAGGGGAAATCTGAAAATACTTAGGGAATACAATTTTTAATCTATTATTGTCAAAAATAAAATTACTAAATGAGATTAAAAAATACTTAATCAATTTACAAAGTTAAATTTGATGTTTCTAAAAACATAAAACTTTTTAAAAATATTTGGAATCATGATTATACAACCAATCAAGGGACGGTCGGCTATATGCAAGATGTTGTATATAGTAAAAGAAGCATATTAGTATTCGCGAGAATATTGTATGTCGGCCTTCCTTCCAAGAACACTAAATTAAGATACTCTATTATCAATGGTGTAAAGAAAAATTGGTATATAAGAACGTTGATGACAACAACAACAAAAAAAAAGCATATAAGAACATTTCGTTTTCGACTTTATTCATGGGATACTTCAACCAAATATAGGGTTGATTTTTTTCTTAACGTAGTATTTAGGGTTGATTAATGTATGTTAAACTATAAAAAGGTGTGGAAGCTCCCTTAGTCTAGTGGTTGACGAAGGGTTGTTTAAAGCTTCTACACTAAGTGGTCTGGGGTTCGACGCCCAGGTAATGCGATTTATTTAATTTGCAGATTAAGGAGATAAGCTTACATGAGGTCTATAAGAATGCACAATTAGACCCGTTCGCCGTGATTCTACGCATGAAGAAGGAGGTGTCGTCAGGAAAGGGTGTAATCTGTGGTGAATCTAAAATGGTCGGACAGAATTGTCGGTAGTAGAATCGTCATTGTAACAATTCTCATAATTTGTAATAAATAATAAATCAAGAGTTAAAAAAAAAACTATAAAAAGGTTTATTGTCTTAAATTTGGCATTTATGTTTGGAAATAAATGTAAACTAGGAAAATAGAGTATATATTATTTATTTACAAAGAAACACAAGTTACTTATACTTATCCTAATATTTTATGGACATAAACAAACATTATTAGAAAAAATCATATATCATATTCCCTCCGTTCGAGAATAAATTATATTTTGATCAAATGCACACTGATCAAAAAATTCTTTAAGTTTTGTTTATTTTTTAAAAAAACATAATTTATCATCTACTTAAACACAATTCAACCAATTAAAAAACAATCTGCAGAATATAAATTGATAAAAACAATAAAACAATATTTAATTTTGCATGGAATTGTGTGAAAATTCTCTATTTTAAATAAAAACCTAAAACATCATCTATATAAAAATCGAGGGAGTATGAAAAAGACAAACAAATGTTGATATTTTCTATTAAAATAATGGAATAGATCACCAACTCATTAATATATTACATGAAGAGATAGTAAAATCAAAACACATATTACAAAACATACATATATGTGTATGTGAGGGTGTGAAGAGATGGTAAAATCAAAACAAAGATTACATGAAAATGGGGAAAGAGGAAAGGAAAGGAAGAAAGTAGTGTGGCTACGAAAGGGTGCAAAAGCTGGGACCACAGCATGAAAGCAAGTGGCCAATGTTTTTTATTTGCTTTCATTGGAAATTAAAACTTTTTGATAGATTCCAGGTTTAGTTAGGGATGAGCCAAATAGTTCAGTCACCTCTTTTAGTTTGGACAGCTGATTAGACATTAGGGTTTTGTTAGAGTTCACGTCTTTTAGTTTGGACAGCTGATTGGATTGGAGACATTAGGGTTTGTTTTACACCTAATTTCCCAAACAATATCTTTTTAATATTACCGTGATTTTATATTTTAAGTTAGTTATCACTACGAATGCTGGAAAATGGGTTTTGAAGAAGAACTAATTCAATCATATGTTTACAGCCCCCTATTTTTATTTCAACAGAATATATTGAAACTCAATAACTTATAGAATAGATTCATTGAATTTACAAAAAAAAAAAAATCTTAAAATTCTTAGTACTTATACTCATGAGTCATGATCAATTATTTGAAGTAAGAAAAAAGAATTAAAATCTTAGTCATGTGTAGTGTTGTACTAAGTAATTTTTCTATTTTTTTGAAGCTGGTGACTTTTCTATTGGTCAAAAAGTTTACAAAAAATAAGAAATAAAAAGGGGGAATTTCAAAAATACCCCTTTTCTAATACCACTTTTTAAAACTACCACTCTTTTTAATTTTATCAAAAATTCACTATAAAATTTGAAATTTATCAAAAACATATGTGTAAACTTATATTTATAGACACAAATGAATTTTTTTTTTTAAGAGAATGATAAATACATCTGACCCAAAACATACATCTCATCAGTTCTGTATGTTTGGATACGAAAACTGAATTTCAAGGTAAAAATTCAAATTAATTAAAAAATTACCTCTACTTTGATAGATAATGTAATTGGACCTCAGTGTCCCCGACAATTTCATTTGTAATTTTCTTTTCGTAATACACAAAAATATAATAAAATAAATCGGAATATTGAAGATTGTTTTGGAATCAATCGGGGTTGAATAGCTCATGTGATGTGTTACAAGGAGTTATCATGAAATCGATGTGTCATCACATTTATGGCTTCTCTCAACCCCACATTCTCCCCCCTCCACCACCGCATTTAGAGGGCGATTTGTTAATTATTTTAAATTTTTGTTTTTTATTTTATTTTTCACGTTATGTTATTTCTTGAAACATTTGGAACAAAACTGTTCTAGGAAACCTAGAAAATGACATAACCCTCAGTGATATATCTTAAAGAAGATTGGAACTTTCTCTAACAAATTAAATTGCCTGGATAGTGATGGTAATAATTAATAAATAGTAAAATCATTAGATTAATTAACAAATATAGTAACAAGTTTATTAAACGGAAGACATTCTCCTAGCTATTTGTATTAAATAGTAATTAGCGAAGTACCTCGCGCTCTACCGCGGTTCACCAGAACTGTAAATACTGTTTGTATTACTACTTATAATAAATTTTAAAGTACTAATATCAAATTTTTAATCTTACAATTACATGGCTATTTATGTTAAGTGTTTAAGTTTGTAATTTGAAGATGAATCAATTTTGAGTATTAATATTTATTACATATTGAGTATTAATATTTATCTACGAATAAATAGTAAACCGGGATATGAAAACCAAATACATACAAAACAATTACTTTTTAAATCGTTCTTATTTGTTGCATGAGATAGTAACGCACACCTTACATAAAGATGAAACGAAAAAACTGAAGAAAATTAAATTATATAAAATAGATTATTACTCTTCATCTGAGCTTTCATCTTCAACATTCCATTCTGGAAATTCACCACTGTGTATGATCAAATGGAAAAATAATTATCACTATAGCATCTTTTTATTATTTGTTTTACAGTATGCAATGAAAAATTATAGGATTGTGAAATGTAAAACTTACAGTAGTGTCTCCAAGTTCATTTCCATGAACTCTTCATCAAGGTAAAATTTTGAACAGCCATATTGAGTGATAACACATTGGTTACCTATGTAAATTACGGAAAATGAGAAGGTAAGCTTGAAAATTGGTACAACAATTATATACACAATACGTGAAATAACATTGTACATAAACGATTAAATTATTTAAGAACGTGAGTACAAACTTTCGTAAACAGAGATTCTCCAAAAACACAGAACACACAAAATAGGACGATCTTCACAACCAGCATAAAAAATAATCTCCTCCCATTTATTTTGAAATTCTATTCCGGATTTTCCTACCGCAACACAGGAGATTTCTTTTTGGCTGATCATTATAATGCATGTTAATTTAATGTAAGTTAACCTTAAATCCCAACATATATTAAACTTAAAATACACTTTTGTTTCATTTGTTAGTGTGTACAAGAAAACATGCATTTAGCAACTGCATAATTAGTCGCTGTTTAGTTGTAAATCCTTAGTCACTAAAAGGAATAGTATTTAGCGACTATCTTACGACTGATTTATGTAATCGTAAATCTTGTCGTAACATAGTCGTAAACATTTACGACTGAGTTACGACTATGTATGTGCAGTCGTAAACATTTGCGACTGAATTCCGACTAGTTTACGACCACGTTTTGGTTACTATTACGTTAGGGTGTAGTCGTAAAACAGTCGCAACTATTTTAACGACGATTTGGCGACTACATACTTATTTTTTAGCCACTGTTTGGCTACTATTTTGCGACTATTAGATGACTAATTTCTTACTAAGTATCGACTATATTTTTTGTAAAAAAGTGTAATGGTTTTACAATTTGAAAAGTTTCCTGGTTTTTGTTTTTGCAAAATGAATCAAACTGAACTAAAACCCCACATTTTCCAAAATGAAAACATATCCACTATATTTCACAATCACTTAAACATAACCAATATTTTTAGAAACAAGTCATAAAACGAAAGTCATATAACACAAGTCATCAAACATACAAAAACTGGAAACAGACAAGTTCATGAGTTTAGAAACAAAAAGTGATGGATTAGTAACCTAAGAAGTTGATGGTGGAGTTGATTGTGGAGCTGTTGCAGGTACATTGATTGTGAGAGGATCTGTGGTTGTTGCCTCAGCTGATTCAGTCACCAAGAAATCCACGAATGCCGGATTAGACTGGCACATGAACTTTTCCAGCTTGTCGATCTTCTCCTTTTTCTCAAATACAACCTGGGATATGTCAGCTTCTCTGGCAGCAGCCTGAGCATTAAGAGTAGCCTGCTCCTCGATCTTGTGTTAAGCTTCCTGTAGTTGCTCTTGCATTGCCATGAATGATGGAGGCTGGTCTGGTCGCTTGCGCTTGCCAACAACCCCAAGATTGTCTTTGAGGCTGCCAACTCCGTAGTAATTATCTCGGAAACCCTTCTTAGTGGACTGTGAAAGAAAGGAGAAAGGAAAACACTTAAGATAGGCAAAACAGATTCATCCAAGACTCTATAAATGTGTATAGTTTCAGATGTCACTTAACCTAAAGAAATATGGCAAGAAATTCATCTGTCGTGAGTTTCCGAGTTTGTGAAGCACCGTCTCAAACCGCTGAAGAATCTACCTCAAGCTCATCAAACTTCGCTTGCAAATTCATCTCATAATTTTGCGCGATTATCTCTACCTTCCGATCAACATACGTTCCATCTTGCTTTGTATGTGTTTTGATGAAAACCTCACCAAGAGTGACAGTTCTTCCCATTTTTTCTTCTTGAAATGTTAGAAATAAAAAAGGTTTATGAAGCTATTTAAAGGCTGGCAAAAGAAATACAAAAATTAATATGTTGACAATAAAAGTGACTAACCATGTCTGATTGTATCTGTTGATACGACTTTGGGCAAGATAAATGGATGTGAGGACCGAGACCATCACGACCAGACATACGAGCCTTGGAATAGGTGTTCCTTTGTTGTGCTTCATCAATATCCCAATGAGCTACCATAACTTGCCAGCGAGTGTCGATGATCCAACTTGGTTGTTCACGACTTGTCCTCACATTGCTAACCATATCCTTTATCCGTTGTTGACAGACCTTCTCAAACTCTTTTTGAACTGTCCCTGTAATCAAGTGATCCCAAGTGTGAGTTTTTTGTGAAAGCACAAGTAAGTAACTATTGGTCAGAAAACTTACCGCAAACTCTATGAATTATCTTTCTCTTCTGTCCTATGGCACACAAGATCAGCTATAGACCATTGAACTTGTTGGTAAGTACTTTGGTAATCATCCGCACCAGTTTTGGATCCCGATCAAACCTCCATGTAAGATACCGACAAAGAAGGAGTAAATACAATTAAATTTGGTATATATATATGTTTTGAAACTCAAACCAAAAGAAAAATATGAATCAACACCAAAACTGAACATACTCAATACATTAACATTCCGAATATAAATGAGACACAACACAGTTACAAACTCTGTGAAAGAACTATCTCAAACATCAAGCATCACTAAGCATCAGATTATGCATTATGCAAGCGACTGACTTTTCACATAAGACACATCAAAAAACATGACATAACACTTGAGACATTACCATTTCCTAACTAGAAATATTTACCATGTCAGAAATGACAATAGGATTAAGCTTGAGAAACTCAATAGAGACTGACATTGATTAAGCATGAGAGACTTAGCCATTATAATACGCTTAAGAAATCCATCAATACAACCAATTACCTTACTACTTAGAACTTTTTAAGAGACTAACAATTCATCACCTGCATCATACTTTTTAACTATAAGGTGCATAAGGAAAATGGTCTTACCAACTCGTTCCAGGCAGCTCTTGTTCACTGGGAACAGTTGTGAACCTCTCTCTGCCTGGTACAGAAAGCAGGGCATTTAGAGCTTTAACGATGTCTTCCTGGAGTTTTGGTAACACGTGATCAGGTTCGAAGTTGTACCCTTGGGACGACGGATGACTTGGCACCTAAGAGAGTTGAGCTGGAGATTTTGGAGGATCATGAACGGGATCTTGCAGTTGAAAACCTCGAATGGTCTGCACTTCGGGTAATGAACGAGTAAGTTGGGCTCGGGGGACTTGATTCACGGAGGTCTGAAACAACGACTGTGGCGGTGGGAAGTTCCGGAAATGGGGCGTTCCTGACGGTGATGCTTGGAATACTTTGGTTCGCCGGTGTGAAATTGTATTGTGGAGGTAGAGAGCTGTTTCGCCTGACTGCGGTGGGGGATTTAGAGCCTCCAGGTCTCTGTGAAACGTTAGAAACTCTTCGTTTTCTTCCTTTTTTCTTTGGTGTAGTCATACTGCTTCGAACAAAAAAAAGCAGATGAAAGAAGATCGAAGAAGAAGAGATTCCTAGAGTTTGATTCAAGCGATTCGAAGGGTTTGAATCGAAGAAGACAAGGGTTCAAAAAACAGTAGGGTTGAGAACATAAATTGAAATAAGCAGAAGAAGAAGAAGATCGAAGGGTTTGAGAACAGAAATTGAAAGAAGCAGAAGAAGAAGATCGTAGAGAGAAAAGGTAGTGGCTAAAGTTAATGATCGAAGAAGAAGAGACTAACTTTGCTTTTCTCGATTGAAAAAGGTTTATTGGGCTTTTTCTTATCGGGCCGGCAATAGTCGCTAAATCGTCGTAAGATAGTCGCTAAACTTTTTTATTGGGGTTTTTGGGCTTTTTCTTATTGGGCAGACTATAGTTGGTTTGCGTAGCACATCAGTTTAATTTAGTCGTGATGTAGTCGCTATTCAGTAGCTTTATACGAAACCTGAATTTAGTTGGTTCGGTTAACCGGTTTAAAACCAAATCGGTTTATGCCAAATTTCGAGTTGTTTTACAATTTTATTTGGTTTATGCCAAATTTTAAATTTATTATTGCATTATATATAGAAAGAATTACTTAGATGGACTACATTTTAGGTGTATTGACGCAAACCATCCAAAACTTTTTTTTATCCTTAAATGTTTTTTAATTACTAGCGTGCCCTTTTTACACGTTACCGGAAAAAACTAATTAGGAAAAATGCCACTGCCACGTCAGACAAAAAGGCGCGTGCCACCAATAACTCAGCCATAACATACGTTACGGCTGAGTTATATCACGTTATGGCTGAGTTCTGGGACAACGGCTGAGTTTCGGGTCAACGGTTGACTTATGATCATAACTCAGCCAACAGTTACGACTGACTTATAAAAATCTGGTTGACTTATGACAAAACGGCTAATAACTCAGCCGCCGTTACGGCTGAGTTATAGTCCGATGGTTGAGTTATCAGAAGTTTGGCTGAGTTATGTTATCGACACGGCTGACTTAACTTTCTCCGGTTGGCTGAGTTATCGACAACGGCTGAGTTATCAAATGTCGTTACGGCTGACTTATGTTTCAGAGACATAACTCAGTCGTAATTGGCTGACTTAACGGAAAACTCAACCATGTTACGGCTGACTTATAGACAAAAGATTTATTGCTAATATAGCCTCCAGTTACGGCTGACTTATTTTACGTTACGGCTGACTTATTGACGTTACGGCTGAATTTGGCATCTTAAAAAGCATTTTAGTAATTACTTAAATATTTTTCATGTTGTGGCTGATTTAATTTGTGTTGATGGCTGATTTATCAATGGCTGAGTTACAAATTTGTTTGGTGGCTGACTTACGACTTCAAATTCACAATTCCACGTCAGCATAAACGAGGGAAATACGAAAGGTCCCCCATTAGCTCGTGTTTTTTCTTACACTCTGTTCTTCATTTTTTGTTCTTCACTTCACTTCTATTTTTCATTTTCACTTATGTTCTTCATTTTCACTTCTGTTCTTCACTTCTTTTCTGCATTTTCACTTCTGTTCTTCATTTTCGTTGATGGATCATCCGGTTCCAGTGATTATTTTGTCTGGTAACTGGGCAAAGAAATAAAAATATGTATTTAACACTGACGATAGAGGTTGTAGAATTGTGCAAATAGATGCGGAAACAACGCACGAGAAGCTAGTGAAATTGGTTCTTGATGACTACAGACTGCATCAACTCAACCATAAGGTGACGATGAGCTACATGCTCTCGTACAAACATATGAAACATATGTCGCATGATACTCCCCCAGTATATGTCTCGAACGATCGACAATTGCAGAATTATCTAAGCTTGTTGACAATCGATCAGCCACGACTTTGTGTTGAGTTCGTGAAGATGAAGGACGGATCGAATGCAAGGACAAAACGGCCACACAGTTCGGCTTCAGAAGTAGAATATACATATGAAGACGCAAGAGGATTTGATGGTTTCTGTTATGATTATAGTGAAAACGTAGAAGATGAAGCCAAAGAAGATGAAGCAGAGTACGAATCAGAGGCTGAAGAAGAAGATGACGAGTTTTCAACCCGATTTGACGTTTTCGACGACTCCGATGGTGCGTCATCTGATGATGATAACTTTACTGTACAGGGCGAGCGTGAGGAGAAAGATGAAGATTTACCGGCTGCTACTCAAAACAGAGGTCATTACTTTGGCAAAGTAGGATCGATTGGGAACTCGGAGTCTTTAACGGTGGAGATGGCTAAGCTAAACCTCGTCGTAGGACAACGATACGCGAACAAAGACGAGTTGGAGAAACGAGTGAAACTTCTTGCAGTGAGAGATGGATTTGATTTTTCAGTACCAAAATCAAATACGACTGTAGTGAATATTAAGTGCCGGGTTGAAGGATGTCTTTGGAGAGTTCGTGCATCTCAAGAAGGAGATGAGCCTGGTTTTGTTATTCGTATATACGATTTGGTACACACATGTTCTGTGACGGAGAGATCTAATCGATCCAAACAAGCTACACCTGATGTTTTGGGACCTCTTTATAGGGACTTTCTTGGTGACATTGGTCCGTTAGTTAAACCTAAAAGTGTTGGAATAATCATCAGTAAGCATTTTAGCATAACGGTAATTACAATGTCACGACTGATTTATATTTGAGTCACGGCTGAGTTTTCGTATATTTACGGCTGAGTTCTCATTACGATACGGCTGAGTTTCGTTGAGTTTTCTTTCCTTTACGGCTGAGTTATCATTACGATACGGCTGAGTTTTCATTTATGTGTCGGCTGACTTATATATAGTTACGGCTGAGTTATCATTACGATACGGCTGAGTTTTCATTTGACTTATATATAGTTACGGCTGACTTATTTTTATATTGGTGCCAACAGATGGATTATTGGAAGTCATACAAGACGCTAAGGTTTGCAAGACAGATCGATATGGGAACTCCTGAGGGAAGTTTTGGAGAATTGCCTTCCTACCTATACACGATAAGACGGGCAAATCCGGGTACAATAACGCGTCTTCAAATTGATGGGTGTGACAGATTCAAGTATGTCTTCATTGCTTTTGGTGCGAGTGTTGCTGGGTTTGCTTACATGCGGAAAGTTGTTGTTGTGGATGGTACGTTTCTCCACGGTAGTTACAAAGGGACGCTTCTAACAGCCCTAGCTCAGGATGGAAATTTCCAAATTTTCCCAATAGCTTTCGCAGTTGTTGACACTGAAAATGATGATTCTTGGCGTTGGTTTTTTACGCAACTCAAAGTTGCTATTCCAGACGAGAGGAACCTTGCGATCATCTCGGACAGACATAAGTCAATAGGGAAAGCAATTGGTGAAGTGTATCCGTTGGCTTCTCGTGGAATTTGCACTTATCATTTGTACAAGAACATATTAGTGAAGTTCAAAGGGAAACATTTGTTCCCACTTGTGAAAAAAGCGGCTAGGTGTTTTCGGATGGCTGATTTTACAGAAGCATTCAATGAGATTGAAGCGCTTCATCCTGAACTACATGGATATCTCCAAAGAGCTGGGGTGCAAATGTGGGCGCGTGTTCATTTCCCAGGTGAACGGTACAACCTAATGACTTCGAACATTGCGGAATCTATGAACAAAGCACTATCAAATAGTAGAAGTCTTCCCATAGTTCGACTGTTAGAATCCATACGGAATATGATGACTAGATGGTTTGCTGAACGGAGAGAGGATGCGAAATCACAGCTAACAACGCTCTCACGACGTGTTGAAAAACTGTTAGAGGTAACTGATCACGTTACATAAGTGAGCCATTACTAGCTTAAAACTCAGTCGTTATTTATATAACTAAGCCATAATGTTATCTATAACTCAATCGTTGTTTATATAACTAAGCCATAACATGATTATAACTCAGTCGTTATTTATATAGCTAAGCTATAACATGTTTACATTATTTTATAACTCAGCCGTAACTTTTATGTTTTGTTCTTCCCTCTAATAGGGTCGTGTAACTGCGTCAAGACTTTTTGAAGTACAACCGATTGATGCTTTACGTGTACAAGTACAATATGGAACATCTTTGCATGTTGTAAATTTGGATGCAAAAAGATGTACATGCCGCCGTTTCGAGCACGAGAAAATACCATGCGTCCATGCAATCGTAGCTGCAGAGCATATGGGTGTGTCTCGTATTTCCCTGGCTGATCCGAACTACCGGAGCAATTATTTGGTTAACGCGTACGCTGATTCAATCTCACCTCCGGATACTGCACTCCCGGTTCCTGAAAAGCAGGATTAATCCGTGCGTGCCTCCGATCGTTGCAACCCAGCCAGGAAGGCCGAAGAAAAGCAGGATTAAATCAACTTTGGAAATTGCACTTGAGAATAAACGCCCGAGGAAACCACACGCATGCTTTCGATGTAAAGAAGTTGGGCATAATGCAAAAACTTGTCGGAAGTAGTATCGTTGGTATGTTGTTGGCATGGATTTTCTCGTTTTTTGATTATGTGTAGACAATGTTTGTTTTATGTAATCCATATTTCTAGACTATTATGATAACTCAGCCATAACATATATTTAACTCAGCTGTAACGCGACCTTTCGTCTTTCTCCCGTACGATAACTCAGCCGTAACGCGACCTTTTGTCTTCTTTAATATGATAACTCAGCCGTAACATAACTCAGCATACGGAATATATTCATGTTACTGATAACTCAGCCGTATAAGGTTACTTATATCTCAGCCCAATAGGTTACATATAACTCAGCCGTAACGCGACCTTTCGTCTTCGTTTCCCGTACGATAACTCAGCCATCACATTAACCAACGCAACTTTCCGTCTTCTTCCTTTATCTCTCTCATCTGATCCTCCCTTTATGTATCAGTTTTCTTTTACCAAAAATCTTTTTCGCATTCATTTCAACTTTCATCAATATGGAAGACAATCCTCATATGCCAGGACATGTTTTTACAGAGATAAACGCGATTCTTGCCGGATTTGGTCGGGATGATCTTCCCGTTCTATACCCTGGTCCGAGTTTATATGATTCTTTCGTTGACAAAAAAACAACGAGATGGAGAGAGTTCCATATAATAATGGGTGAAGCGATCGAGCCTATAATTCGTCAGAATATGCACCACGAGTGGCCGACTTATCGCTTGATTCCCGCCCGCTTCAAGATACATTGGTTTAAGATATTACTGGTAAGCACCACGTTTAATGCATTTTCATTCATATGGTTCTTTTCTCTTCGCCTAATTTTTGTTTCTTTTATGTAGCGCCAATACAACAGGGATCCAAGGCAAACGTTAATCATTTGGAAACACTTTAATAAAGATGCGAGTTGCATTTTCATGTCGTAGATGCGTAGGATTAGGAAGAGCTGGATCTTCGGTTACGATAAGCCCGAGTGGTTGAATCCAATGGTTTGGGAGAAAATTGTCCATATGTTTGAACAACTTGGTGCAGACGATCTCTGCTGGGACTATTTTTGCTGAATTCTAACAGTTATTTGCTTTTGAATGTTTTCAATGTTGTTTCCTATTTTTGCTGAATCATGTTTTTATCAATTTTTCTTCATTTTGGCAATTTCAACAGACATATAACTCAGTCGTAATGTTATCAATAACTCAGCCGTAACGGAATCACGTAAATAATAGGTTATTGATAACTCAGCCGTAATGTTATCCATAACTCATCCATAACATAGTATAAGTCAGCCATACCCTAAATATGCGTTATGTCAATTCTTGTTATAACTCAGCCGTAACGGAATCATGTAAATAATATGTTATTGATAACTCAGCCGTAATGTTATCTATAACTCAGCCATAACGTTGTATAAGTCAGCCATACCCTAAATATGCGTTATCTCAATTTATAGTTATAATCAAGTTATGAAATCACTTAAATTACATAAATATTAGGTTTAAATATGATACAATCATGTTACCATATTATTCATCAGTAATTTAGACTTTGTTGGTAACATTTAGAAAACTATCACACAAAAACTAGTTTCTAGTCATAACCAACACTACATAATTTGAATTTGATGAAATTGTGTAAATTTTCCATTTTCTTTTCAAAATTAACAATCTTAACATGCATATTTGCTGGTAATATATATTTATTATATGTCATATCCATTATATACTTATATAATTGCTAATTATAAATTATAACTATACTCATAACTCAGCCGTAACTTGAACACGTTAACTTAGCCGTCACATAATTATAAGTCAGCCATACCCCATTTCTCATTTAACATGAAAAGAAATCTTAAACAACGCAAATTACAACATGGTCAGTCTAAACATCATGAAACAACAATTATATTCTCTCCCATAGCCATACAATTGCGATTCCTATTACAGAGAGTAGAAAAATTGTCTTCAAAGCTGTCTTACCCATATCATCCTCAATCTTCTTCATCAATTTTTCTTCAAGCTTCTTACTCAGTTCTTCCTCAAGCTTGTCAAACATTTCTTTTTGGAGATCTAAATTTTGAGTATGTTGATGCCTTAAGTCCGTCACATCTTCTTCTATTCTCTGTAACTTTGCGTCGAACATCTTAATTTCTTCAACCGATGCCTCATCAACCCATTTGAAGAAATGCGACTCAGTCGGCCTCTAATTAACAAAACACCAACATCGATACCTATATGTTAACAATAAAAAATTTAATGAAAATCAGTACCTTCAAAGAAATCGAGCATCTATAGAAGATACGGTAAGGGTTTTCCTTTGTCTTCGATATGTATGTGATGATATCGTTACCACACCAACATCCGCAATTCGTCGGAAGATCTGGAGGGTAAGCACCATGTGCTGAACGATATGTACTCGAAGAGTAGTCGCTCATATTAAAATTGAGAAGTAGAATTCTTTAATCGAAGATAAACCAAGAAATCGGATGGGAATCCCAGAAATCGATAAGAGCCTTAAATCCCCAATCTGATCTCTCGATTATGACTATAAGGGAGAAGAAAGAAGTAAACGACGTTGTCTGGAATTAACTCGGCCAAACCACGAATTTAATTTACGATAAGTCAACCAAACCTCATTATATAACTCAGTCGTAACGTTATGTTATACCTCAGACGTAACGTAACTATAACTCAGCCATACCCCGAATTTGAATATCAAAATCATAAATCAGCCATATCTAACGTATAAATCAGCCGTAACATGATTATAACTCAGCCATAACATAATCATAACTCAGCCAAACCTCGAATTTTAAATATAAGGTTATTTATACATTCATGTTATTAGAACACTTAGATAAGAAGAATTTAAGGTTTCTATTCACTGTAAAAATGAATATAATCAAATTAGCTATTGTTTATACCTTTTAAGACTTATGTATCCAACAAAGAGATAAATCCTAGTAATGCTTGTCTATTCTATCTTGTAATACTCTAATTTAATACAATTTTGTCTTTTATATTCGGGTTAATTTTATCTTTTACATTAAAGATACTTTTTAATATATTCTAATACCATAATGTTAAGTTTATTGTTGAATTTAAAATGCTTGTTTATTGTTGAGTTTAATTTGTCTTTCGGAACTCAGCCATAACATAACCATAACTTAGCCATAACCCATTTCTATAATACAGTCACAGTCAGTACAAAACCACAAATGACCCATGATTCCAATAATTTACATATTATCATAATAAGTCTACTACAACATAATATTACTGAAACTGGTTGAGGTAATCCGGTGCCTCATCGAAAATGTCTGCTGCCATCTTCAGCCGTATACCTTGGATATTTTCATCACAGAGGCCATCGAAACTAACACCGAGTGCTAGGCATTCCACAAATTTGAGAGAGTACACGCCACAGTCCCCAGGATTTAGGTTTTGAGGGACCTTGGATATACTCTTCCTTCTGAAGGAAAACATCGCCTTACTTTGTTGACGGATTTCAGCAGGGACTAATGCGTTTAGCATTGCTGGAAGCATCTGCGCAAACGGCTTAACAGACTTCATGATATTTTGTTCACTTTCAGGTGTTACCTGACCCACAATGCTGTCATAGACATTGATATGGCTCCTTGTCAGGTCAGCTTCTAGCATAATCCAGTGATCACCTCCGACTTGTATAACAAGATACAGTTTGTCCACATCTTTTATCTACTTCAGATCAGTGGGCTGATCTACAAGCATTTTCCCGTTAATAACCCGCTCATAAGGTCCACCATCGACTTTAAACCTTTGTGGTCTTTCCTTGAATGCTTTATTATACTCATGAACGAGTAAAGCAGTGATGAGTCTCTTGAACAATTCAATTTCAGGGGCTGACTTGCCATATGGGATAGCCCTAACAAACAACACACTTTAATATACACAAAAAGGGGGTAAAGAAGCAGTAATCAAGAGGATCATAGGTACGAAGGACTTACTTGTATGGACTTAAGTGATCCAATAATCTCTCCAATCTGGCCGGATCAACAGGGGCGAAAGGATCATATATTGCAACAGAGGGTACACAGTTCTTCCTCATGCATGTAAGCCCGTTCTCTCCAATAAAAGGAAAAACATGAGTTTTTGGCTGTGGCTCCAATGCACTCCCATCTTTAGCAAACTTCACATTTGCTGTCCTTAATTCCTTAATCCTTTCATTCCTAATCCTTTCTTCCTCATCAACATCAGATTCAGGTAAGACGTTGAAGTTCTCGAAAGGATTATTGTCAGTGATATCCTCTAGATCACTGTCACAAGCTTTGTTGTCCCCTTTGTTGTCGTCAACCACAACCTTCTTACCCTGACTCTTTTCATGTGGGAATTTGAATTTCACAACAGGAATCTTACCAACATCTTCAGCAAGTTCTTCCACCAGATCAGATTTATCACTTAGTTTCAACTGCTGAACAGCTCTAGGCTTTCTACCTCTCTTCTTTGGCTGGCCTTTTTCCTCATTCCCTTTCCTTCTTGCTTCAGCTTCTGCCCTCTTCTTTTCCTCTACTTCTTTTTTCTTTTGGGCATCTGCTTCTCTTCTCTTCAGTGCATCTTCTTTCTTTTTCAGTGCCTCCTCTTTCTTCTTTTGAGCCTCGGCCTCTTTCCTCTGCTGTGCTTCTAAATTCCGCGTCAAAGGCCGCGTTTTCTTATTAGCAGGAGAGGGAGATTTCTCAATGAAATCAAGAAGACCATCTTGCTTATTAGTGGCCTCATCGAAATCCTTATTTAGATTCTTGATGCACCGATTAATGTCACTGTCCAGAACTGCTTCTTCTTCTTCTTCTTCCTGAATTTTCTTCTCCTGTAACTTCATAACACAAAACAACTCAGGCATAACAAAGATATAACTCAGCCATAACACAAAACAACTCTGCCATAACAGATGTATAACTCAGCCATAACATAAAACAACCCAGCCAAAACAGAGATATAACTCAGCCATAACATAACTCATAACTCAGCCATAACATTCAACAACTCAGCCGTAATGTATTTGATAACTCAGTCATAACATAAACAACTAAGTAAATACATCGAATAACTCAGCCATTACATAAAATTAAGATAACTCAGCTTACCGGGGGACTAGTAACAGAGTAGTCTTGGCTTGACGGTTTCTTCTGAATTTCAGGTGTCCGTTCCTTTTTTTCCCAAAAACATCCATGATTCTGATATTGGAGAAGCTCTTGAGTGGTAATGTGTCGTCATTCTGAATGTTTTTGCCTCCACTCATGAGACCAGCTAGGCCTCCACCTCTGGCAACGAAGGAAATTAGGCCTTTCATCTTGATGAATTCTTCATCAACATGTGTGAACTTATCATCAAAGGTCTCAACCTTTGATTTCATGGTCTCAACTTTCTGCTTCTTAGCGGGAGATTCAGACTCAACCGCTGCTCTAACTTTTCCAGCTTTCTTCTTGTCCTCATTCACTTTCACATCCCAAAAACCTTTAACAAGCTTTTCCTCATGTATGTCATTGACCAAGTTGACAAGTTCTGGGTATTCTTCTGTCTGATTTGGCCACGTATGAAAAAGCACACTTACATCACCCTTCATCACCATTGTACTCACACGCAGCTACATTAGAAGACAAACATCAATAAGTATAACTCATAAAGACAAAACAAATACATAAATCAGCCATCACTAAACTCTAACTCAGTCATTACTAAACTATAACTCAGCCATAACTAATTTATAACTCAGCCATAAATAAAAATAACTCAGCCATAACTTAATTATAACTCAGCCGTAACTAAACTATAACTCAGCCATTACTAATATATACCTCATCCATAACTAAATCGTAACTCAGTCATAACATAAAACAGAGATCACTAAAATATAAGTTACCTCACTATACTTTTTGATATCTTCAGCAATGGCCACATCTAATGCTGAACGTGTACGGGTCCCAGGCCATCGAAACAACGTGATCTCTTCATTCTCGACTAAATTCCCGAATCGTTCTCCTAAGCATTTGATAGAATCATATGCCCAAGCTTGTAACACGTAAACCGGCCCACCAAAGGTGTACGAACTACCTCTAGGATTCAAGCACTTGACATTATCAACCATAGTCTCAAATGCGACCCGACCCCATGGATAAGCCTTCACGATTTATCATCAGAAACTATTTTTGCAGCTTCAAATGGTATCCGTGAGTTATAATGGACACAGTAGAGTCCAATGGCTAGAATTATCAATAGCCCCAACCACTTGCGCTTCTCAACAGACCATGACCGGCACACTAATAATCCTTTAAGTAGCTCATCATATGTTGGACCTTCCCCACCAGGAACTTTCAGTTCTTCTGTTAAGAACTGTTTGAAGTCAACTGAAGGTTCAAACTTCTCTGATGGAGTTGGATCTATGTTTAACCCCGTGAGGTGAGCGAATTCATTCAAACCAAACCTTATAGGCTGGCCACCAACTAAACACCAAAGCTCTTTGTGTTTAATTCTCAACTGTCTACACAATAGATAGTGTACAGTCTTAGCAGACCAAACGAATTTGCTTTCAACTAATTTAGCAACTATTCCAAGAGGTAATTGCTTGATCTCATCCCACGCGTCTTGTCCAATTGATTCCCTAACCCCAGGGAAATCTGCCATCCTAAAATAGGTACACATGCTTTTATTCTTGAGGCTAGACATCCCTTCTTCGTAAAGTCTCGGTGGGTAATTAATTGCTTGTTCTGCAGCCATCTGAAATATGTATAAACACATCATAACTCAGCCGCAACATACAACAAACTCAGCCGCAACTAAACTATAACTCAGCCATAAAGTACACAATAACTCAGCCACAACATAAACTATAACTCAGCCACTACATAAACTATAACTCAGCCACAACATTAACTATAACTCAGCCATGACATAAACTATAAATCAGCCACAACATAAAACAAGTTAATAAGTGAGAGATAACAAATATTATAACTCAGCCGCATCAATAACAACCTAAGACAACTCAGCCATAACATGATAAGTAACTCAGCCATAACATGATAAGTAACTCAGTCGTCGAATCTATAGATCTGACAAATCAGCCGTCAAGAATATTGTAACTCAGCCGTCGAATGAATAGAGCAAACGACGGCGACAATCAGCCATAATAAGCAAAAACAAACACGATTATAGTCGGAATAACTCTAAATACAGTTCGACACTTACCGGAATACAAAGGGTCTCCAATGTATCAACGAAAACGACGACTCACTCACGGCGACTTCTTCTCTTCACAAGGACTGAAGGCGAGTATGTTTAGAGGGAAAGAGAGAGAGAGCGTAATGGTTCGTCGACGGCGAGTATTGTGTTCGTCGGCGAGTATTGTCTTCGTCGGCGGCGAGGAAGTTCTCTTTCGAACGCGAGAGAGAAATTTTTTTTTTTTTTTCAATTGTAAACAGTGACGAGAAATAAACTGTTCAGTTTCCTTTTTGATAATTAATGAAAGAATAATTGTCGATGATGATGTGGCAATTTCGGGTATGACGTGACATTTTCGGATCTGATGTGGCAATTTTAAGTGAAAACAGACAAATGGTGTTTATTTTAATTACACCCATCCCACTAAACATGTAAGGAATAAAAAAAAAATTTGGCTGTTTAAGGAATAAACATACAATTATGGTCTATCTAAGTAATTCTCCCTTATATACATTATTGCATTATAATACAAATTTTATATGCCAAATTTTCAATTTCATATACATATATATATATATATATATATATTATTGCATTATAATACAAAATTTATTAAGGCAAATTAAAAAATATGCATAAGTATGAAATAAAGAGTTCTTCATCTTCTGGTTCTTCATCATTTGAAGAAGATAAATTAGACTGGAATTCATCTTAAGATTCCGCATTCCCGAAACCATAATCTAGATTGATTGCAACACTATACAAGCAATTTAGTGGTTCAACGTGTTTATGAGTTCTTAGCCCATTTTGGACCAAATTTCAGCAAGTCTTTCTACACACTTTTAAACACTACTCATGCATCTCTAACACTTGTAACCAGATAAATTTATTGTATTCTAACATATTCTAACACCAAACAACACTAGACAAGAGACTTAGTTGTTCAACGCATTGTTTCTCAGTTCTTAGCCCATTTGGAACCAAATTCCAACAAGTCTTTCTACACACTTCTAAACACTCTTCATGCATCTCTATCAATTGTAATCAATCATATTCATTGTATTCTAAAATATTATAACCCCGAACAACACTAGACAAGAAATTTAGTGGTTCAACGTGTTTTTGAGTTCTTAGTCCATTTCGGACCAAATTTGAGCAAGTCTTTCTACACACTTTTAAACACTCTTAATGCAACTCTAGCAGTTTTAATCAATCAAATTTCTAACATATTCTAACCCCAAACAACACTAGACAATCCATTTAATGCTTCAACGCAATGTTTGTGGGTTCTTAGCCTATTTAAGAGCAAATTTCTACAAGTCTTTCAACACACTTCTAAACACTCTTCATGCATCTCTAGCACTTATAATCAATAAAATTCATTGTATTCTAACATATTCTAATCTCAAAAAACACTAGACAAGCCATTTACTGGTTCAAAGACATGCTTGTTGGTTCTTAGCCCATTTCGGACCAAATTTCAGCATGTCTTTCTACACACTTCTAAACACTCTTCATGCTTCTCTAGCACTTGTAACCAGTAAAATTCATTGTATTCTAACATATTCTAACTCCAAACAACACTAGACAACTCATTCAGTGGTTCAACACAATGTTTCTTAGTTCTTAGCCCATTTGGGACCAAATTCCAACACGTCTTTCTCCACAGTTCTAAACACTCTTCATGCAACTCTAGCACTTTTAATCAATCAAATTTATTGTATGACTAACATATTCTAACCCCAAACAACGCTAGACAAGCCATTTGTGCTTCAAATCAATGATTGTGGGTTCTTAGCCCATTTCGGACCAAATCTCAGCAAGTCTTTCTACACACTTCTAAACACTCTTCATGAATCTCTAACACTTCTAACCAGTAAAATTCATTGTATTCTAACATAAGATAACCCCTAAAAAACACTAGACAACCAACTTTAGTGGTTCAACGCAATGTTTTTGAGGTCTTAGCCCATTTGGGACAAAATTTGACCAACTCTTTCTTCACACTTCTAAACAATCTTCATGCATCTCTAGAACTTTTAATCAATCAAAATTACTTTATTCTAACATATTATAACCCCAAACAACACTAGACAAGCCATTTAATGCTTCAAAGCAATGTTTGTCGGTTCTTAGCCCATTTCAGACCAAATTTCTACAAGTCTTTCTACACACTTCTAAACACTCTTCATGCATCTCTAACACTTCTAACCAGTAAAATTCATTGTATTCTAACATAAGATAACCCTAAAAAACACTAGACAACCAACTTAGTGGTTCAACGCAATGTTTTTCAGTTCTTAGCCCATTTGGGACCAAATTCCAACACGTCTTTCTACACACTTCTAAACACTCTTCATGCATCTCTAGCACTTGTAGCCAGTCAAATTCATTGTATTCTAACATATTATAATCCCAAACAACAGTAGACAAGCCATTTACTGCTTTAAAGACATGTTTGTGGGTTCTTATCCCATTTCAGACCAAATTTCAACAAGTCTTTCTCCACTCTTCTAAACACTCTTCATGCATCTCTAGTACTTGTAATCAATGAATTCATGGTATTCTAACATATTCTAACCCTAAACAACACTAGACAGACAATTTAGTGTTTCAACGCAATGTTTCTGAGTTCTTAACCCATTTGGGACCAAATTTCAACAAGTCATTCTACACACTTCTAAACACTCTTCATGCATCTCTAGCAGTTGTAACCAGTCAAATTCATTGTAATATAACATATTCTAACCCCAAACTATACTAGAAAACGAACTTAGTGGTTCAACGCTATGTTTTAGAGCTCTTAGGCCATTTGCGACCAAATTCCATCAAGTCTTTCTCCACACTTCTAAACATTTTTCATGCAACTCTAGCACTTTTAATCAATCCAATTTATTGTATTACTAACATATTCTAACCCCAAACAACACTAGACAAGCCATTTAATGCTTCAAAGCAATGTTTGAGGGTTCATAGCCCATTTCAAACAAAATTTCTGCAAATCTTTCTACACACTTCTAAACACTCTTCATGCATCTCCAGCACTTGTAATCAATCAAATTCCTTGTATTCTAATACATTCTAACCTCAAATAACACTAGACAATCCATTTACTGCTTCAAAGACATGTTTGTGGGTTCTTATCCCATTTCGGACCAAATTTCAACAAGTCTTTCTCCACTCTTCTAAACACTCTTCATGCATCTCTAGTACTTGTAATCAATGAATTCATGGTATTCTAACATATTCTAACCCCAAACAACACTAGACAGACAATTTAGTGGTTCAACGCAATGTTTCTGAGTTCTTAACCCATTTGGGACCAAATTTCAACAAGTCATTCTACACACTTCTAAACACTCTTCATGCATCTCTAGCAGTTGTAACCAGTCAAATTCATTGTAATATAACATATTCTAAACCCAAACTATACTAGACAACGAACTTAGTGGTTCAACGCAATGTTTTAGAGCTCTTAGGCCATTTGGGACCAAATTCCATCAAGTCTTTCTCCACACTTCTAAACACTCTTCATGAAACTCTAGCACTTTTAATCAATCCAATTTATTGTATTACTAACATATTCTAACCCCAAACAACACTTGACAAGCCATTTAATGCTTCAAAGCAATGTTTGTGGGTTCATAGCCCATTTCAGACCAAATTTCTGCAAATCTTTCTACACACTTCTAAACACTCTTCATGCATCTCTAGCACTTGTAATCAATCAAATTCCTTGTATACTAATACATTCTAACCTCAAATAACACTAGACAAGCCATTTACTCCTTTAAAGACATGTTTGTGGGTTCTTAGCCCATTTCGGTCCAAATTTCAACAAGTCTTTCAACACACTTCTAAACTCTCTTCATGCATCTCTTGCACTTCTAATCAATCAAATTCATTGCATTCTAACATATTATAACC